AAAAAAAAAAAAAAAAAAAAAAAACCAGAGAAAAATATATATAAAAATATTGAAAGAAAAAAAGTCACAAGATCGCCCTACGACCAAAATCACCAAGTTCTCGATCGTTGCGAGGCCAAGAGAATTTGCCCCTAGAGGCGAATTAACGTTGACTACTGGCTGAGGAAAAAGGGGGAAAACGGGAAGGAAAAAAAAAAAGCAGAAAACACCTTGAAGTAGAGAATTTTAAAAATAGTCATCGTCATCCCGACGACCCGGCGATGAACACACCTCCCAGTGTTGCCAACCGTTGGTGTTTCAGTGGCGTCGCTATTGGCCAGCGAGTATTGGCAACAGTGTAACAGCATCGGTGAACGATAATTTCATCGATCGTGCAACGACGTTCAAATGCTTAATACGGCGTTAACGTTAACGTCCCCTGCTACGGTATATGGTGTATGTTACGTGGTTACGTTATCGTTACGTTAAGTTTACTTGCAACGGCAACTGCTCTTCGGTCTGTCTTTCTCTGTGTCAGACGCGCCAAAAGAAGCTGCCTTGCGCGCTCAATCTTCCCTGCTAGTCTTGCCAGGTCTGACCGACTAATTTCACAGTGACTCAGAAGCTTGACTTTCTCTGGCCCACCTGTGCCTACGCCTATACGTATACCATATCGCGTATGTACGTGGCACCTCCTATATAAATTACCCGCAAGAACCCGTTTCCGGTTGCTTGATCGTTTAGGCACATTGGCCGGAGCGTCGGTGAAGTAACGCGATGACGAATATAAATTTTCATATTTTTCCCACTTTTTATTCACCTTCGTAATTTCAATCAATCTTCTTTCTCGCGATAGCACGGGCAACTGGATTGTAACGCGCTTCAGAAAAAGGCTAAAACGTAGTCGAATCTTTTTTTTTTTTTTTTCCTATACCGACGCGAGGAATCCCTCAAAAATTATAATTCGACCTTTCAAGACCGGGAAAATCATAAGACGTATTCTGCATATCTGTCGCCTGTAATAAAACCACCGGACTTATTACGGCGACCCTTATTCATGTACGGCAGGCTAAGGATTACGAATTGTTCGAGGAGGATTTATTATACAATAGGTCAAAGGACAGCGCCGGGGCCTGATTATTTATCCAGGACTAATTAACCGCTAGACAAACAGGTCACGTTATCTCATTTTTGTTGATGAAAAAGGAACATGAAATATATGGATACTGACGGAACTTACTCGTTTCAATGTTTAATTGATACTCGGCGAGGTTTAAAATCGCGCTACGATTAATTAATTAAACTTGATCTAATTAACCCTACATCAAGCTCACAACTGTTAAGGTCTTTCTCTTTCAGGAAGGAAATAACCTTCGAGAACACGGAAAGAAAAAGAAATATTACTAGGTGTAATATGCCATACTGAAAAGTCCCAAAGTGCATAACAAACAGCATATAGACACTTGTAAGATAGTCAATAGGTAATTTGTAATTGTATAACTAACGATAATAGAATACTGAATCTCAAATATCCAAAGAGAGTAACTAATTGCAAATTTTGAAACGTTACCCTTCTTTTTTTTTCTTTTCCTTTTTCTTTCTATTACAGCATTTTTTTCGTATTTACCCCGTTTTTATATCCCCATTTGTTCTCGACTTTTTCTCTTTTACATTGTTTCCGATCTCGCCAACTTCGCTTCAACTGCATATTCCTTGACTGTGCCATGTATCTTTCTCTCCTTCTTCTCCATTTCCACATTTCACGACTTATTCTTTTTCTCGTTTTCCCTTTATTACCTTCCACGTCAGGCCGTTGCCCCTGGCGAATACGTAACCTAACGGAAATGCCAGTGCGCACGCGCAGGGACGTATTTCCTGTCCCTCTTCATTTCTTTTCTTCTCTTCGGTCTACCCATCTCTCTCTCTCTCTCTCTCTCTCTCTCTCTCTCTCTCTCTCTCTCTCTCTCTCTCTCTCTCTCTCTCTCTCTCTCTCTCTCTCTCTCTCTCTCTCTCTCTCTCTCTCTCTCTCTCTCTCTCTCTCTCTCTCTCTCTCTCTCTCTCTCTCTCTCTCTCTCTCTCTCTCTCTCTCTCTCTCTCTCTCTCTCTCTCTCTCTCTCTCTCTCTCTCTCTCTCTCTCTCTCTCTCTCTCTCTCGCTCTCTTCGTCTCTTCACAAAATAGCATTTTATTAGCTGAAAACCAGTGGCATTCCGACGGAAAATCGAATTGCTCGTTACGATTAAATAGATGTTTTCTCTCTTCCTCGCTTGGCCCTCGAACCCCTACCAAATAATCTCTCTCTCCCTCACAGCTAAAATTTGTCTATTTTAGTTCTCCTATCTTCCCATACATAACTGAACCATTTAACCGTTATCTTTCTTATGTTTAAACTGTTATGTATATATGTATAAATGATATTCCACGGATTGCTGATGACGAAAAAAAATGAATAAATTATATCCCTCTAAAAGATTCCCCCCTATCTCCGACGGTATGGGTTCAGCGTTTAAAGTAGGGAGCCAGCAGTCTTAGGAAGCTTTAATTATCGTTAGGTTATGTCAATCATGATACTACAGGTTTTTAAGTCTTCCCATACTCACGGTGCAAAAGCAGTGTCCCTATAGAACGTTTCAAAATACACCCGCAATCGCCAGCTACCCGTTAGACACAGAGCGTCCTTATAAAAATTATTTTCTGGGGAGCCTACGCCTATGCAGTACGTGGGAGCCTATACCGAGGCACTGCTGCAAACTGTAGAAATTAATTAATGTATTTGCAGGTTAATAAGCTGTAATAGAAGGAGAACTCCAAGTGAGAGCCCCTGCTTGCAGACATTACCTAGATTTGTAAAAAAAAAAAAAAAAATGAAGCTTTATTTCCCAACGAGTTCAACTTCGAAGCGCGATCGATAATCCCCCCTCCTCCTCCCCCCCCCCCCC